TTTTAACTAAACAACATCAGAAACACATTATTATTCCAGTCTTTGGAAAACTGTTAAAGAACACATCCAAGAATTACAAATCAAGCCGTTTAACTGGCTTAACTACTCTCCCAGACTTTGTCTTGAACATGTCAGATTTTGGAGATGAGGTATTCTTTGGAACATCTCTTGTTGGAATGACAGAATCAGTCTGAGTATTAGAGAGGTTAGCACTAGACTGAACACATTGCTTATCCTGGATAAGTTCATCATCTCTAGATCTTCTTGGCGATTGGCAGTTTGGGAATGTTGGAATCTCAAGATTAACATCATCCTCAACTCTAGACTTTCTGGCAAGACGAAGTTGTTGTCTATTCCGTTTGAAACAGTGACCATTATCAGATCTCACAGAGTAGGTTCTTGGCTTGATCTCATCTGTCGCAGTAGCTTCATTCCATTCCTTCCTGCCGGTTTGAATGGGTTGCATTCTGACAGTATCACTAACCTGTAAGGGTTTGAGAGGTCTTCCAGAGTACTTCCGGTTATGTCTCTCAACTACAAGCATCCTTTTGTCTTCAAGTTGTTGCTTGTCATCCGGACCAGAATCATGTTGAATAGTCTTTAACGTACAAGGAACCTGAGTACGTGTTCGGCGACCAAATAGTCTTTGGGCTGGACTTGTTTGTACGCCTTCAGTCGGTGTATTTCTCACATTCAACAATCCCAGGTAAGGATCCTCTTTAGCAGCTAGACATTTCTTCATCATCCTTTTAGCTACTTTAACGGCAGCTTCGGCAGCACCATTAGCTTTACTGTTAACAGGGCTGGAAGTTTCATGAGAGAAACCCCAAGACTGACTGAACTTCTTGAACTTCTCACTGGTATCCTCCGTCACTGATGACGACTTTAGGTATACCATGACGAGCAAAGTGGTGCTTCAACTTGTTAACCACAACATCAGAAGTGGTTTCAGGCAGAAAGTCAATTTCAAAGAAATTGCTGTAGTAGTCAGTAGTCACAAGGTAATTCCTACCTTCAATGGTGAAAATATCAGTTCCCACCTTTTCCCAGGGATGATCAGGAATCTCATGCATAATCAGAGGTTCTGGTGATTGCTTATCACTGAAACGAGCACAAATATCACATGACTCGATATACTGTCTTATGTCACTTGACATCAAGGGCCAGAACACAAGTGTCTTTGCACGGCGTAGACAAGAGTTTATCCACATGTGACCAACATGAAGTTTTCTCTTGATCTCATCTCTCAATGCAAGTGGGATGACAACTCTAGGTCCACGAAGAATTATCCCATCTTGAATGGTGAGTTCGTCTCTGTAACTGAAGTAAGGAGTAAGCTCAGAGGACAGATTCTCCTAATGTGTTGGCCATCCTTCCATTATAGTTGATTTCAACTTGGTGAGGGTTTCATCAGATGCAGTTGCAACTCTAATGTCATTCATTAGCTTGTCCTTGATCGGGAGATGATAGACATTATTCACATACACAGTTTCAGAGGAAGGTTTGTCAGGCAATGGCGCTCTGGAAAGTGTATCAGCAATAGGAATAGCTGTTCCAGGTAGATACTGAAGATCGAACACATATCGCTGGGTCCTCAGTAGTAATGACTGCAGTCTATTGGGAGCTCTAGACAAGGGCTTCTTGACGATAGACACTAGTGGCTTGTGATCAGTTATCACAGTTACACTTCTACCATATGTGTAATGGTGGAATTTCTCAAGACCAAAGGTCACGGCGAGCATTTCCTTTTCTATCTGAGCAAATCTTTGCTCAGTGTCAGTTAGCGAGCGACTGGCATAAGCGACAGGCTTTCCCTCCTGCATTAGTACTGAGCCAATGCCATGTTCACACGCATCATTCTCAACTGTCAGCTCTTTCTCTGGATCATAATATGACAATACAGGTGCCTTGGTAACCATGTCCTTCACCTTTTGGAAGGATTCCTGTTGAGAACTGGACCATGTCCAGGCAACATCCTTTCTTACAAGGTTACGCAGAGGAGCTAGCACATCAGTTAAGTTTGGCAAGAACTTGAACAAGTAGTTCACAAGACCAAGGTAACGTCGAAGTTCTTCAAGATTTGTTGGTGGAACCATGTTTTGAATTGCTCGGACCTTTTCGGGGTCAGACTTCAAACCATCTTTGGTTATCAAATGTCCCATGAAGGTGATTTCACTCAATCGCAGTTCAAGTTTTGATGGGTTCAGCTTGATATGGCTCTCGCGACATCTTGCTAGAAATGCTTCAAGATGAGCATCATGTTCTTCTAGGTTCCGACCATGAATCAGCACATCGTCAGCAATACAGACGACACCTGGTAGTCCATCAAGGGCTTGAATCAACTTCTTTTGGAAGATTTCTGACGACACAGAAAGTCCAAATGGCAACCTGAGAAATCGATAACGACCAAAACAAGTTTGAAAGGTCGTAAGAAGACTTGACTCCTCATCGAGTTGGACATGCCAGTATCCAGATGATAAGTCAGCTTTGGAGAAAACTCTAGACTTCCCTAGCTCATTTAGGGTATCTTCAAGCACAGGCAGAGTGTAATGCTCTCTACAAAGGGCTTTGTTTAGTTCTTGCGGATCCAAACAAATTCGAAGTTCACCTGATTTCTTTTGCGTAATTGCGATTTGGTTTACCCAGGGGGTTGGCTCACTGACAGGCGCAATCACACCTAACTTCTCCAGTCTGTCTAACTCAGTGTTCAACTTTGAGCGCAGTGCAACAGGAACACGACGGTTTGGCATCACAACTGGATTTCACCGCACTATCAACTGACAGATGAACAACACCACTAAAAGTACCAAGTTTACCATCCAGCACATCACTGAACTTTTCAGTAACTTCAATATTGGCAACACGCTCAATATTCTTCTCATGAATTGTGACTAAGTTCATGAGTGTAACAGTTTTGACACCTAGGAGAGGTGCAAAGTTCTCTTTCACGACAACAAATTCAACAGAATACTTTTTCTTGTTAGCAGGATTCTGAACAAGAATGTTTAGGCAACCAAGAGGAGTGACGTCAGTCTCTTTCCACATCTTCAACTTTTTAGTTGTAGGTTTCAGACTCTTCAACTTGTCCTGGACAATAGAAGACGGAATGATATTAACAGCAGCACCAGGATCAATAGTGAAGACGACATCTCCTCCCTCCACAGTCATTCTACATTTAGCAGGCTTGTCCGTGTTTGAATCTTCATGCACAGAATTTATCCAATCTTCATCTGGAAGCTCAACAATGTTGACTTTGCTGTAGTGCTTCTTACTGGGACACTTTGGTGCAAAATGATTCAGCTGGTGACACTTCGTGCACTTTTTTCCCCATGCAGGACAACTTTTACGAGCCATGATATGAGAATAACCACAGAATTTACAGTCTCTTTCATGCTGAGATTGAGGTCTCTGACTTCTCGATGGAGAATTCATCTTTTGACTTGAACGAAGAGGCTTCTTTTGCCTTGATCTCAAAGAGTCTATTGCAACTCTATTGATAGGTTCAGGTCTGATCAACTTTGACTGAACTGACGCATTTTCAGTGGCTTTACAGATGTCGATACATCTTTCTAGAGTGAGGTCCCTCTCTTTGAGCAGTGCTTGCTGAGTGTCGGGATCTCTTACTCCAAGGATGAGTCTATCTCTTATTATTGAAGAGATACAATACTGACAATAGTTGCAGGTTTTCACAAGAGAACGGATTGATCCTAAGAAATTTTCAAATGTCTCTCCTTCCTTCTGTTTTCTGAGATTGAAGACGTATCTCTCATATGTCTCATTAACTTCACCAATAGTAAATGCTTCGAATTTGTCTAGAATTTCTTTGACAGTTCTCTCAGTCTCTGGTGTTTGAAAATAGAATCCATTGAAAACTTTTAAGGCTTCATCACCAAGTGTGTTTAGGAGCAAAGCTACTTGATATTCCCTTCCATATCCTGGCAGGTTCACAAGTATAGAATAATTGGTCCATTTCTGTTTGAATGATTTCCAATTTTCAGCAATGTTGGATTCAATAACAAGGGGTGATGGAGGTTTTATACCACCAACAGGCCGTTGAGCTTGAGGAGGATTGTCGGCCATATTTGAAGACTTGAAGCAAGGCTAGACTATCTTCAAAGACAATACACACTTGTAGCTAGTTGACATGACAAATGCAGACAGGAATCTCTCGAGTGTGCAGAATATCACTTATCAGGTCAAATTAAGCTAACAGATTCAAGTGTTCATTCATTTCAGCGAGTGACATCACTGCTGAGACATTTGAATGATAGCAGACGAACGCACGTGCTCTGAAACACCTCGGCTTCAATTATAACATTTCAGACATAAAACTGACAGAAATAGGTCGTGGTATCATAGAGGAGTGAGAAAGTCACCTGCTGCCACCATGTTACGTGCTGTGTATGCTGTACACATGTCTGGATAGCCATAGCCAACTCAGGTTAAAGCATCAACGTTTATTAGAACTTGCATGGCTGACATACACCAAGGGAAGCAACTCTTGTCACAAGAGTGCATACCACGTAACACTCCATAACATCTGCTCTGAATGAGACTCTACAGTACTCTACAAGAACGCCTTGACCTTTGGTGTCTGCATTGTTTAATACAATACTCTACAAGAACATCTTGACCTTTGGTGTCTGTATTGTTAATACAGTACTCGACAAGAACACCTTGACCTGACTGTTTACTATGAAACTCTTTTATTCTCTAGGTGTCTGAAAGGTGTCATATAAATTTCATTGCTTTTTTGCCTTTTATACTCAACTGAATCTGTTTCCTCACAAAATCAAGTCTTTAGCATTGATGTTTTACATTTGCACTTATCTTCATATCAACATGAAAATGTCTGTCTGTGTGCAGGCGTCTCTGGGTCACTGTATGTGTCTGTCTGTCTGTGTGCATGTGTCTTTGTGTTTCTGTAATGTGTCTGTCTGTCTGTGTGCATATGTCTTTGTGTTTCTGTAATGTGTCTGTCTGTCTGGACTATGACTCACCCGAGGGGAGAATGTGGACAGTCTGGTTTCCGGCGCCCGCTCTGGAACATTCGGGGGATGGCGTTTGTCCACCTGGAAATAAAGTTGAGAGGTTAGAAATCCATGTTCAACTTAATCACAGAAGCAGCCAGCCTAACTAAAGGTGTTGGTGTGTACGCTCGGTCTCACTACAAGGTGTTGGTGTGTGAGCTCGGTCTCACCACAAGGTGTTGGGGTGTAAGCCAAGTCTCACTACAAGGTGTTGGTGTGTAAGCCCAGCCTCACTACAATGTGTTGGTGTGTAAGCCTGGTCTCACTACAAGGTGTTGGTGTGTAAGCTCGGTCTCACTACAAGGTGTTGGTGTGTAAGCTCGGTCTCACTACAAGGTGTTGGTGTGTAAGCCCAGCCTCACTACAATGTGTTGGTGTGTAAGCCCAGTCTCACTACAAGGTGTTGGTGTGTAAGCCCAGCCTTACTACAATGTGTTGGTGTGTAAGCCAAGTCTCACAACAAGGTGTTGGTGTGTAAGCCCAGTCTCACTACAAGGTGTTGGTGTGTAAGCCAAGTCTCACTACAAGGTGTTGGGTGTGTAAGCCAAGTCTCACAACAAGGTGTTGATGTGTAAGCCTAGTCTCACTACAATGTGTTGGTGTGTAAGCCCAGTCTCACTACAAGGTGTTGGTGTGTAAGCCCAGTCTCACTACAAGGTGTTGGTGTGTAAGCCAAGTCTCACAACAAGGTGTTGGTGTGTAAGCTCGGTCTCACTACAAGGTGTTGGTGTGTAAGCCCAGTCTCACTACAAGGTGTTGGTGTGTAAGCCCAGTCTCACTACAAGGTGTTGGTGTGTAAGCCAAGTCTCACAACAAGATGTTGAAGTGTAAGCCTAGTCTCACTACAATGTGTTGGTGTGTAAGCCCAGTCTCACTACAAGGTGTTGGTGTGTAAGCCCAGTCTCACTACAAGGTGTTGGTGTGTAAGCCCAGTCTCACTACAAGGTGTTGGTGTGTAAGCCAAGTCTCACAACAAGATGTTGAAGTGTAAGCCTAGTCTCACTACAATGTGTTGGTGTGTAAGCCCAGTCTCACTACAAGGTGTTGGTGTGTAAGCCCAGTCTCACTACAAGGTGTTGGTGTGTAAGCCCAGTCTCACTACAAGGTGTTGGTGTGTAAGCCAAGTCTCACTATAAGGTGTTGGTGTGTAAGCCCAGTCTCACTACAAGGTGTTGGTGTGTAAGCCCAGTCTCACTACAATGTGTTGGTGTGTAAGCTCGGTCTCACTACAATGTGTTGGTGTGTAAGCCCAGTCTCACTACAAGGTGTTGGTGTGTAAGCCCAGTCTCACTACAATGTGTTGGTGTGTAAGCCCAGTCTCACTACAAGGTGTTGGTGTGTAAGCCCAGTCTCACTACAATGTGTTGGTGTGTAAGCCCAGTCTCACTACAAGGTGTTGGTGTGTAAGCCTAGTCTCACTACAATGTGTTAGTGTGTAAGCCCAGTCTCACTACAAGGTGTTGGTGTGTAAGCCCAGTCTCACTACAATGTGTTAGTGTGTAAGCCCAGTCTCACTACAAGGTGTTGGTGTGTAAGCCCAGTCTCACTACAAGGTGTACTACTACACAGATAACTACATGGCACTGTGAGTCTCACCACAAGGTGTTGGGTGTGTAAGCTCGGTCTCACTACAAGGTGTTGGGTGTGTAAGCTCGGTCTCACTACAAGGTGTTGGGTGTGTAAGCTCGGTCTCACTACAAGGTGTTGGTGTGTAAGCCCAGTCTCACTACAAGGTGTTGGTGTGTAAGCCCAGTCTCACTACAATGTGTTGGTGTGTAAGCTCGGTCTCACTACAATGTGTTGGTGTGTAAGCCCAGTCTCACTACAAGGTGTTGGTGTGTAAGCCCAGTCTCACTACAATGTGTTGGTGTGTAAGCCCAGTCTCACTACAAGGTGTTGGTGTGTAAGCCCAGTCTCACTACAATGTGTTGGTGTGTAAGCCCAGTCTCACTACAAGGTGTTGGTGTGTAAGCCTAGTCTCACTACAATGTGTTGGTGTGTAAGCCCAGTCTCACTACAAGGTGTTGGTGTGTAAGCCCAGTCTCACTACAATGTGTTAGTGTGTAAGCCCAGTCTCACTACAAGGTGTTGGTGTGTAAGCCCAGTCTCACTACAAGGTGTACTACTACACAGATAACTACATGGCACTGTGAGTCTCACCACAAGGTGTTGGGTGTGTAAGCTCGGTCTCACTACAAGGTGTTGGGTGTGTAAGCTCGGTCTCACTACAAGGTGTTGGGTGTGTAAGCTCGGTCTCACTACAAGGTGTTGGTAAGGTAGGTAGGATGCTGTAGGTCAGCACAGATAACTACATGGCACTGTGAGTCTCACCACAAGGTGTTGGTAAGGTAGGTAGGATGCTGTAGGTCTCACTACAAGGTGTTGGTAAGGTAGGTAGGATGCTGTAGGTCTCACCACTAGGTGTTGGTAAGGTAGGTAGGATGCTGTAGGTCAGCACAGATAACTACATGGCACTGTGACGACACCAGACAGACCAGGGTCACATGACATTACACCAGACAGTCCAGGGTCACATGACATTACACCAGACAGACCAGGGTCACATGACATTACACCAGACAGACCAGGGTCACATGACATTACACCAGACAGACCAGGGTCACATGACATTAACTACTTGTAGTCTCTCACTGATGATGTAAGTATCCAACATGTCCGCTCTAGTTTGGCAAATGTAGAGTCACTGTCACAGATTTGGATCAAAGATAGTTTGAAGGGGTTTGTTCACTTGTCAATAAACTCAACTTTAGTAAAATGACTTGGCTCCCATTATAACGTGATTTGTGAAAGGGAGGCCTGACATTGTCACAACCACCACTGTATCCATGTGGAGCAGCAACAAGACTCGCCATTACACCGACCACAGACAATTTTCTCCCCCAAATGCCCCCCCCCCCCAATGTGACCTCCTAAGTTGCCCTTTGAAAGCTTGGACAAGCCATCAAGATGACATTTAGAGATAGAGGAAAACTTTCTTACAAATCTGAAAAGAGTATTTCATTCTGAGAAAGACACAGTCCAGAACTCCTCAAAAAGGGAAAGCCTAGAAGTTAAGAATGGCACATCCTAAACTCCCAATGCCATGAAACATAACAGCACCTCCAGTGAAGGACGCTATGAAGATGAGCGTGCGCTGAACCGTGTCGGGAGATAAAGAGGAGCAGCCATTCCCTCCACTCACTCTAACTACTGTACATCAGAGGGCTGATCCGCACTTGATTTACCATCAGGTCATTACAGTCCCAAACCCATCAGATTATCATTTAATACCCGGACACTCGGCCCGGGGTCAACCTATCAATCCTCCTCACACAGGAAATACTGGTGCATTGCTGGGTTTCACTCTCATAGATCTGAACACTACTGTAGGCTGTAGGCAGTAATACTCCATGTCTTTGTTGGGTTTCCCTCTCATAGATCTGCACACTACAGTAGGCAGTAGGCAGTAATACTCCACTGCTTTGTTGGGTTTCACTCTCATAGATCTGTACACTACTGTAGGCAGAAGGCAGTAATACTCCATGGCTTTGTTGGGTTTCACTCTCATAGATCTGTACATCACTGTAGGCTGTAGGCAGTAATACTCCATGGCTTTGTTGGGTTTCACTCTCATAGATCTGTACACTACTGTACGCTGTAGGCAGTAATACTCCATGGCTTTGTTGGGTTTCACTCTCATAGATCTGCACACTACAGTAGGCAGTAGGCAGTAATACTCCATGGCTTTGTTGGGTTTCACTCTCATAGATCTGTACACCACTGTAGGCTGTAGGCAGTAATACTCCATGGCTTTGTTGGGTTTCACTCTCATAGATCTGTACACTACTGTAGGCAGAAGGCAGTAATACTCCATGGCTTTGTTAGGTTTCACTCTCATAGATCTGTACACTACTGTAGGCAGAAGGCAGTAATACTCCATGGCTTTGTTGGGTTTCACTCTCATAGATCTGTACATCACTGTAGGCAGAAGGCAGTAATACTCCATGGCTTTGTTGGGTTTCACTCTCATAGATCTGTACATCACTGTAGGCTGTAGGCAGTAATACTCCATGGCTTTGTTGGGTTTCACTCTCATAGATCTGTACACCACTGTAGGCTGTAGGCAGTAATACTCCATGGCTTTGTTGGGTTTCACTCTCATAGATCTGAACACTAAAGTAGGCATTAGGCAGTTATACTCCATGGCTTTGTTGGGTTTCACTCTCATAGATCTGTACACTAAAGTATGCAGTAGGCAGTAATACTCCATGGCTTTGTTGGGTTTCACTCTCATAGATCTGTACACCACAGTAGGCAGTAGGCAGTAATACTCCATGGCTTTGTTGGGTTTCACTCTCATAGATCTGAACACTAAAGTAGGCAGTAGGCAGTAATACTCCATGGCTTTGTTAGGTTTCACTCTCATAGATCTGTACACCACTGTAGGCAGTAGGCAGTAATACTCCATGGCTTTGTTGGGTTTCACTCTCATAGATCTGTACACCACTGTAGGCAGTAGGCAGTAATACTCCATGGCTTTGTTAGGTTTCTCTCTCATAGATCTGTACACCACTGTAGGCAGTAGGCAGTAATACTCCATGGCTTTGTTGGGTTTCACTCTCATAGATCTGAACACTAAAGTAGGCAGTAGGCAGTAATACTCCGTGGCTTTGTTAGGTTTCACTCTCATTGATCTGTACACCACTGTAGGCAGTAGGCAGTAATACTCCATGGCTTTGTTGGGTTTCACTCTCATAGATCTGTACACCACTGTAGGCAGTAGGCAGTAATACTCCAGGGCTTTGTTAGGTTTCACTCTCATAGATCTGTAATACTAAAGTAGGCAGTAGGCAGTAATACTCCAGGGCTTTGTTGGATTCACTCTCATAGATCTGCACACTACAGTAGGCAGTAGGCAGTAATACTCCATGGCTTTGTTGAATTTCACTCTCATAGATCTGTACATCACTGTAGGCTGTAGGCAGTAATACTCCATGGCTTTGTTGGGTTTCACTCTCATAGATCTGTACACCACTGTAGGC